CCCCCCCCCCCCCCAAAAAAAAAAAAAAAAAAAAAAACCGCACTGGATTCGCCTATGATTGAACCTCCACTCTAACGGTTTGAACCATCTCGGTGAGGTAAAAATTTTTCGAACAAAATTTGCTTTGCTTATATATCTATGTAGAAACAATTAGATTCTTCGTTAGATGAGCTGCTTGCAGGAAATCATTGCGACCATGCAGGAAAGTAACCGTCCACTCGGATGAACTCCGAGCAGGAGGTACACGTCGAGCAGGCGACAAGTACTAAGTGTATTTAAGCAGTCCTAGATCAAAAGGCCTGGCATAGTTGCACCCGGCATGTGAAAACATCCCGGTCATAAAAAAAAAAATTCCACCCTCTCACCTCTAAAATTTGAGGAATTCAGTCTTTCTGAATTTTCTTTGGTTTGTACGGGCTGTTACATCTTTGGTTCGGCCTTCTATGACCCTTCGATCTTAATCATAAAATAACTAATATGAATTACTCACTTTAATAAATTTGAGCGGTCCTGACATTCTTGGTATATATCTGCGCTTTCTCGTAATCCATCCATGTGTTGCTCATAACGTATGTATTTTACATTATTAGTAATCTACACAGTAAAATGATACCAATCCATGTAAAACTTTTTTATTGGCGCTTTATAAGTGAATTACTGGAAATACAAAAATATGTACTGATTTTGTAGCTTTGACAAGAAAACACGGGGCATAAATTTTCAAGTTTCTTCTCTTTTTGTCTATCCTGTTATTTCTTTTTTTCGTTTTGCTTATATGTCGGATAATTTTGAACATTTTAACTGTATAAATAAAAAGTGATTATTACTGTTGCCATCTTGTATCTGTTCTTATCTTTTTCCTGAAATCCACAAATATCGATTTTGCCGGTACTTTTCTTGTAATCTCTGTTTTTTTTTTAAAACGCAAATTTTATTTTTATGAAGATATAGTTACTTTCCGTAGCATTTTTTTGAACATTTTTCATGACAAATTATTGTAATATCCTTTTTCCGTCATTTGAATCCCGTCCCCTGGATGTTTTTGACAGTGGGTGGATTGAGTGGTTACATGGCGTGGCCACGTAGCGGAGAAGGGGGAAAGGGGCGATGGGCGGAAAGAAGAAAAAACTGTGACTACTTCACGATGGTGACGGAGAAGATTTTAAATCAGTTGGAATGAAACATCTCTTTTCTCCAATGGTTATATCAGTAGAAGGATCGAAAAGCAGGGCTGCTGATCACTCACAGCTAGAAATTGAGATTTTTCGGACCGCACTAAAGTTAGGATTGCTTTCTTGAATCAGTTGCTATATTTTTTCCTCCTTGCGCTTTCTCGAACATTTGATATCTGTACGGTTTTCTTCTTGGCTAGTAAGAGTGACAGCATATCTTAGCATGTTTGAAGGAGGCATCGTTCGAAGTAATATGGTAATGATTCAACACGCACACACACAAACACACACGCATATATACATACATGCATATATATACATATAACACACAACATTTCATTTTTTTTTTTTTTTTTGCAACATTTCATGTTCCAGTAGCTGATATACTGATCCTCGAAATCCGGGAAGTGTGAACAGGGAACAATTCGTTAAAATTTCAGTTTTCCAAATTTTCTGGTTCTTGAATTAGAATTTTCCTGCCAAAAATTTTCACGGGGCGCTACGTTACATTAGAATTTGCTGGTGCGAAGTTTTAAAAAATGTGATTGAGGATTTGTTGAGGCTATGTGTAAAATGTGGGATATGATAATGTGGGGAAGGCGATGGCGAATATCGGAAAGGACAGCACTTGCCGTAAGAGGATTGGATTTGAAGGATGTCAAATCGATTGAGCTATCATTCGATCCATTTCATCCCGGATGCCATTCACTTAGGTTTGCTGATCTCCATGTTTTTTTTTCCATTGCTTCTTAACTTTTCAATTTTTGATTTTTTTATACTTGTTTTCTCGCAATCATGGTTCTCTTGGCCCGCCTCTTGATATTTTTGTATACGCATATATCTGTTTGCTTAACTGAACTATGGATCTACGAAAGCCTTGGTTCGTTTGGTTTTCTACGCCACGATAAAGGACCTGGATGGAATTATGTCAAACCCCTTAAATTCCGATGTTTTGTCAACAGACTTTAAAATCAGGCCAATTTTTTTACAATTGAAGACGAAAGTTTGAAACTGGAATTTTCGGGCTTTTTTGATTATCGTATAAAGCAAAGTGATTGGCCTGATTTCTACTTGATACTGTAGTTTTCCTGCGAGTATTTCCATATATAAGGTTTTCCTACAACCGCAAATATAGTGAATCATTAATCCAAGATTTTGATTTAATTAAAAGTAAATTTTGACAAAAAATCCGATTGCATTGGCTGTGCATTCGTCTTTTATTTATTTGAAATATCCTTATCGGTTGTTATCGGTTGTTTGATGTGCGCTACTGTTTGTTTAAAACTGAAAATACCGGGACCTACTGGATTATCGGTAAGGGGATCCCAGGTTAGCGTTGTTACTGGGATGCTTTTTCACACCAGACGCAGCTGTGCCAGGTTTTTATGCGTTTTTTGCAGCAATGCAATGCGAAGAACGCATACTGACGAGAGGTTGTCTGTGTGTGTGTTTGTGTGTGTGTGCGTGTGTGTGTGTGTGTGCGTGTGTGTGTGCGCGCTGCGCGTCTGTACCGATTTTTCATCTCGAGACCGGCAAAAGCTACGGGTCTGAAACTTTGGGGACTTAATCCACATGCACGTACGGGCCCCTAC